CTACAGGCGCCCGCCACCACGCCCGGCTAATTTTTTGTATTTTTACTAGAGACGGGGTTTCACCGAGTTAGCCAGAATGGTCTCGATCTCCTGACCTTGTGATCGCCCACCTCGGCCTCCCAAAGTGCTGAGATTACAGACGTGAGCCACTGCGCCCGGCACCGGCCTCCTTTTTATTTTTCAGCGACAGTTTCTCACATTGACCCCAGGCTGGAGTGCGGTGACGAGAGCACGGTTCACTGCAGCCTCGACCTCCTGGGCCCAAGCGAACCTCTCACCTCAGCTCCTAAGTAGCTGGGATTAGAGGCCCACGCCACCACGCTCAGCTGATTTTATTTTTTGTAGCGATAGGGTCTCACTGTGTTGTCCAGGCTGGTCTCGAACTCCTGGCCTCAAGCGATCCTCCTGCCTCGGCCTCCCAAAATGCTAGATCGTGGTTGAACCACCACGCCACCCACGGTCTCCTTTTAATGTAAAACATTAAACAATGTTTTACACCGTGCCAGTGAAAGCAAACTGTACTCTCTATGGCGCTAGTAGCAAAAGCAAAGAATTATTACCATGCCTAATAGAGAGGAGCCCTAAAAACAAATCCAGGTCTGCAAAAGCCGATTGACAACTCTGTGGTGATTTAGAAGAGAATTGCAAGAAACACAGAGCGTCCCAAGTGACAAGGATGGTCTGGCGACCACATTTCCCGGCAGCCCTCGCGCAGCCAGGCCGCTTAGAGGATTGGACTCATCCGCAGGAGGCGGGTGACAAAGGGAGGGGATAGGCGTGAGGTACTGTGGGTAGGAGACGGCCGTCGGCGGAGGCGCCATTTTGTGGAGCAGCCGAATCTTGTTGGAGGTTCGGGGACGCAGAACCGCTACTGCTGCTTCGGTCTCTCCTTGGGGTAAGTGCGGTGGCTGTCTAACGACGGTAGGTTCTTGCCATTGGGGCTGGCCCCCAGGCCTCCCTTGTCAGCTGCCGGAGGCGATTGATCAGCTCCAGCCGGTTCTCTAGAGGGGCTAAATTACCCCAGGCGTTGGAGGGCCGCGCCGGCCCTTGTTGCCAGCTCTGTCAGTTTCCAGAGGTCGTCCAGCCAGCTCAGCCTCTGGCCTGCTTCTCTCTGGCTGTGACTTTGCCCCTTGTGGGTACACGTCCCCTAATCTCCAACCCAGCGGAGCAGTGGAGCCGTTGCCTGTCCCTCTGGCCCTCCTCGGGAGCGCCCTGGCAGTCTCTGGCCGCCATCCCCCCTCAACTGCAACTGAATCGCCCTCTCCGAAAAGCTGTTCGGTGATGGCCGATCTCCGGGTTAGGAACCTCTTGGGAGGCGGGAGGGGTGTGTGCGGGGAGGGCAGGCCGGACGCTGGAGTCGGTCGAGCAGGCCGTGACGCCGCCATCTCGGCCGCGAGACCCCACGGAGGTGGGTGCCGGCACCGCCCGGGAGAGAAGAGGCAGCACCAGTGAATATGCCTCGGGACTTGTTTCCCCCCAGTGGTTCTTTTTCATTTATTAATTTCAACAAATCATTGAGCATACGCTCTATACTAGGCTCCAGAGACTACTGGAACTGATTTCTCGGACCTCGCGCTCATCGAACGCGGTCCAGCTGTGTGATGTCTCATTACCAACGGGGAGCAGGTGGGCTGGGCTCTTCGCCACTCAGTGGTTTGTAGTCATAAGAACTGACTCAAGACGTGGTGGTTGTTACCTAGGAATTAGGTCGTTACCTAGGAATTAGGTCGTTTCTAGCTTTGCTCTTGTCTTATGCGATATGTTATTAATGTAGTAGATTTCAGTCAGCTCAGTATCCCAGCTTCTACGAGGTTTTAAATTTTTCATCAGAAATGTTTGAATTTCATGTTGCTCTTTGTATTAAATGAAGACACTTGGATTAATGTTTTAATGGTCAACTATCCCACTAGAGTTGCTTTGATACAAAACCAAAGGAGCTCATTGCAGCTCTGCCGTTTTTGCTTTGTAATTCTAAGGTAGGAGCAGGGAAGGAGTCTTCTGCTTGCTCCATATTATGATTCTGTTGTTAAATCTGGAATCTAATATTTTAAAGTATTCTTAATCTTCCGGTTTTGCTCATGGTTAACAAAATATTAGCATGATTTTAACGTTGACAGTTTGTCCCCACCACCTCCCTACCTTAGATAATCGCTGTCAGTGATTTGAAGGTTTGATGAACTCCCAGCCTCAGTAGTATCCAAGCTTATGGAGCTGCTCACTTAAGTGATCTCTGAGATTTACAGCAATTACTCTCTCTTGTCTCCTAGAAAAAATAAAATTTGAACCTTTTGGAGCTGTGTGCTAGATCTTCAGTGGGACAATGGGTTCAGACAAAAGGTAAGTTACTATAGTACATGACTTTGAACTCAACATTTCAGTGGGGACTGAACTCTTTGTTTAAAATAGTTTATCAAACTAATATGTGAGTGTTTCGTGCCAGGCATTGCTGATGAACACCTTTATGGTCCTGTTGTCACAAACTAACAGTCTAGTGAGAGAAAGTACTGTGTGAACATGCTGTGATAAAGGATAGGGTGCTCTTATAACACATAGGAAGTATGTCTTTTTCTTGTTCACAGCCAGGAAAGCTTCCTGGAGAAAGTATTCTCTGGAAGGAAGCTGAAGGATAAGAAAGAATTTTAGGCAAAGAAGGGCAGGGTAGAATGGGTCCCTGAGGGTTCCCTGTGTGGACAGCAACCTTTGCAGAATCCAGGAGATCATACAGTCTGGCACTTAGCACAGTTCCTGGCTGTGGTAAGCAATCAATGAATGCCAGTTCTCGCTATTGTTCCCTAAATAGCAAGATGATCCAGACTTAGAGAGCTGAGAAGCTTGGGACCGTGTGTTACATGAAAGAAAGAGCCAAAGAATTAGTGGAAAATCAAGATGAGAGCATTTGGCTATTGGGTACACACTCTCAGACCATTTGATTTAAACACACAACCTTATTCAGCCATCTGCCTTTTTAGTATTGAGGTCAGTCCCTGTGGTAGATCACATTGACAGGCCCGAGGGACCTTAGGAAATGTTCATGTCACATGGTGTTTTAATGCTATGTCAGCAGTCTGTGGTTCTAAATAGCTTATTAAATTAACATTTACCCCTTTGGGGTGTCTCAGTCCCATATTTCCTTTGATTCTTTTTATTAAATTTGTATATTCTAAATGAAGCCCTTATAAACCTTTCCTTTGCCACAGTTTTATGAATCTGGTAAAACAATTTACAAAAGACCTATTTTATCTGTGGTCAAATAGGTTTAAGCCCCTTGTTATTAGGTTTTCTCATGAAGCCCAGTGCTGCCCTTCAACCAAAAATAAACCAGATGTTATAAGAAGAGTGTTCTCTTAAGGGGTGCTAGTTTTGGGTAACTATCCAGTTATATCTGACAGACAACTAAGTTGCCTGATGGGGAAAAAAAAGACTAACTTAGTTCATCCAAGTTTTTGGTCCATTTTCTAGTAGATATGATACTCTTGAGAGTAGATGAGCCAGGGATGTACTTAATTTCACCCTTTAAAATTGGGTGAAATTCGAGTAACTGCTTTTTTCCTGTTTTTGGTCTGAATCAGGGATGAAGGGATGATATGTAGACTCTAGGCTTGACAAAGTGCAAAAATAAACTTGGATAACATGACCCTTTCTTAGAAATATTCAACCCAAATGTTTGTTTCAAATTTAGCATAAATTCCTGACAATTATCATTACATTTAGGGATATAGGTATTTTCCCAGTGGTTATTTTAGTAAACTGGAATTTAGTAATACATTTTAACACTTTAAACTATTTGGATATATCTTATAAACTGATCTGTGGGGCGTGTGTATTTTTAACTCTGTCTTTTAAAGGTACAAAATGTGACTGACTTTAGAATGAAAATTATTTTCCCTGGCAGAGTGAGTAGAACAGAGCGTAGTGGAAGATACGGTTCCATCATAGACAGGGATGACCGTGATGAGCGTGAATCCCGAAGCAGGCGGAGGGACTCAGATTACAAAAGATCTAGTGATGATCGGAGGGGTGATAGATACGACGACTACCGAGACTATGACAGTCCAGAGGTGAGTAACCAGTGGCTGCATAACCCCCAGAAACACCCTGAGTCTTATAGAAACAGCAGCCAGGCCGTGAGGCCCAGTGGCCCCTTCCCATAATCCCAGTACTTTGGGAGGTCAAGGTGGCCAGATCACTTGAGGTCAGGAGTTCAAGACCAGTCTGGCCAACATAGTGAAACCCATCTCTACTGATAATACAAAAATTAGCTGAGTGTGGTGGTGGGCACCTGTAATTCCAGCTACTTGGGAGGCTGAGGCAGGAGAATCACTTGAAACCTGGGAGGTGGAGGTTGTAGCAAGCCGAGATCGCACGGCTGCTCTCCAGCATGGGTGACAAAGCAAAACTCTGTCTCAAAAAAAAAAGCAAGAAATAATAGCCAGGGTTTACCTAGGGCTCACCATGTACTTTTGAGCACTTGACTTCATGAATTCATTTAGGTCTCAGTACAGCCTGATAAGGTAGGTGTTATTACCATTTTAAAGATGAAACAATGGGGTTATGATAACATTTTAGTTCTGTGTTTTGAAATGAATGATAAATATAAGTTGTTGGCCAGGCGCGGTGGCTCACACCTATAATCCCAACACTTTGGGAGGCCAAGGCAGGAGGATCCCTTGAGTCCAGGAGTTCAAGGCCAGCCTGAGCACCATAGGGAGACCCTGTCTTTAAAATAATAATAATAAAAATAATAAAATATAAGTTGTTTTAGTTATCTCGGTATATCTTTTTTTTTTTGAGGCAGAGTTTCACTCTTGTCACTCAGGCTGGAGTGCAGTGGTGCGACCTCAGCTACTCAGGAGGCTGAGGTATGAGAATTGCTTGAGCCTGAGAAGTGGTGGTTGCAGTGAGCTGAGATCGTGCCATTGCACTCCAGCCTGGGCGACAGTGCGAGACTCTGTCTCAAAAAAAACCAGAAGGCCGGGCGCAGTGGCTCACACCTGTAATCCCAGCACTTTGGGAGGCCAAGGTGGGTGGATCATGGGGTCAGAAGATTGAGACCATCCTGGCTAACATGGTGAAACCCCGTCTCTACCAAAAATACAAAAAATTAACTGGGTGTGGTGGCAAGCGCCTATAGTCCCAGCTACTGGGGAGGCTGAGGCAGGAGAATCGCTTGAGCCCGGCAGGCGGAGGTTGCAGTGAGCCGAGATCATCACACCACTGCACACCAGCCTGGGCAATAAGAGGGAAACTGTCTTAAAAAACAAACAAACAAAAAAACAGAAAAAGAAAACACTGTAGACTGGGCGTGCTTGTAATCCCAGCACTTTGGGAGGCCAAAGCAGGAAGGGTCACTTGAGGCCAGGAGTTCAGACCAGCCTGGGTAACACAGTGAGACTGTCTCAAAAAAAAAAAAAAATTGCAGTGAACATTACCATGGAATGCTTGTATCAGTTCTGTAGACTTCCCTCTAAGGATAATTTCTAGGCACGGAGGGCCTGTTTCAAAGAGTACAGAGTGATGTTAATTGTGATTTTGTTTATTGTAACTCAGAGAGAGCGTGAAAGAAGGAACAGTGACCGATCTGAAGATGGCTACCATTCAGATGGTGACTATGGTGAGCACGACTATAGGCATGACATCAGTGACGAGAGGGAGAGCAAGACCATCATGCTGCGCGGCCTTCCCATCACCATCACAGAGAGCGATGTAAGGGGAAATGACAGTTATAACCAGCAGTCAGTAGGCACAATGAACTTTGAGCTTCTACCATTATTTTCTCATGTTACTGTTTTATCTTAAGCCAGTAGAGGTTGTGTATCCCTTATACAAAATGCTTGGGACCAGAACTGTTTTGATATTTTGGGGTTTTTTTTTTTCTAAGTATTTGCATTTACATAAGTCTAAACATGAAATTCATTTATATTTTGTATATGCCTTATACATGCCAAAGGTAATCTTATACAATACTTTAAATAATTTTATACACAAAACAGTGTGTGCTTTGGTTTTTTTGTGTGATATTTTTGTTTCCGTTTTTTACACAGGGTCTCGTCACTCAGGCTGGAGTATAGCAGTGCAATCATAGCTCACTGCAGCCTCAAACTCCTGGGCTCAAGTGATCTTTTTACTTCAGTAACTGGCAAGTGCATGCCACCACACCCCGCTAATTTATTTTTTGTAGAGACAGGCTAGGCTAACTGTGTTGCCTGGACTAAAAGTTTTGACTGCCCTTTTGTCTGTGACCTTTCAAATAAGGTCAGGGGTGGAATTTTCCAATTGTAGTGTCATGTCAGTGCTCAGAAAATTTCAGATTTTGGAGCATTTCAAATTTTTGGATTAGGGTTGCTCAACCTGTATCTCAGCTAGTGAAATATTTTTCTGTCTTTAGGGAGGAGTTCTCTGAACTAGGTTCAGAAGTAAATTACCATATTGGCCTCATGCCTGTAATCCTAGCACTTTGGGAGGCCAAGGCGGATGGATCACTTGAGGTCAGGAATTTGAGAACAGTCTGGCCAACATGGTGAAACCCTGTCTCTACTAAAAATACAAAAATTAGCTAGGTATGGTGGCATATAGCTTTAGTCCCAGCTACTCAGGGGGGCTGAGACAGGAGAATCGCTTGAACCTAGGAGGTTGAAGTTTAGTGAGCCAAGATCACGCCTTTGCACTCCAGCCTGGGTGACAAAGCAAGACCCTGTCTCAAAAACAGAAGTAAATGACCATATTTATATTTAGGCTTTGAAGCTCGATGTATGAGTGTTCTGAATGTCTTTAACCACAAGGAGCAGGTCTTGTGTCTTCATTAGCTCCTAGAAAATAATCAATACATTT